CAGGCATCATGCTAGGGTTGCGATAGCGCCTAGGCATGATGCTAGGGCTGCAATGGTGCCCAGCCATCCTAGGGCACGCATGGTGCGCCTAGGCATGCTGTTGGGCCCAGTCTAGCCTAGCAACCCACATGGCTAGGCCAGTGTGGTGCTAGGGCTATGTTCATACTTGTCGCTTTGTGATTATGCGACGCTCGGTCTCGACGCCCTAGGCTCGATATCCGATGTCTGTATTCGTAAAACTCTGTCGACTCATTAAATCCTTTCGGATTAATTCGTCGTCTCAGATCGGTGATTCGATTGGGTTCGACCCGAAGGGTTCAGTTAAGATTAAGCTGTAATATCAATTGTACCTCGATATTACTGATCGGAAGCAGCCTCCACCTAGGCATTCCGATCACTTGATCTTACTGAAGAATTAACTCTGTAATAATTCTGAACCCTCTATCGGAAGAATACACTTGTTGGAAGGACATCATTCCTTTCATTCATGAGCAGCGAGCTATAGCTCACTCGCTGGTGAGCTCTCGCTCGGCCCTGCCGCAAGGCTTGCGAGTAGCGAGCTATAGCTCACTCATAGGGAGCTCTCGCTCGGACCTGCCACAAGCCAATGCGAGGGGCAAGCTATAGCTCACTCGCAGAAGAGCTCTCGCTCGGACCTGCCGCAAGCCACTGATGGCAGTGATCAGCTATAGCTCGCTCGCACGTGAGCTCTTGCTCGGCCATGTTGTAGTCTATCCGAGCATCCAAGCTCTAACTCTCTTGCTAGCTCAGCCTTGCGCGTCCATCTTTCTCTCGCTAGCTCCTTGCACACATAGGCACCAAAGGTAACCACACTCACTTGGTAAAACTCCGATTTGCATTACTAGAATTGCAAAAACACCAACAAAATTTTAAAACACCTACCTCAATTTGGGTTAGAGAGGTTTATGAGGTTCAAATAATGTTAATTCACAAGATTGTAGAATGAAAGTTTCATGATGTATTTTTAGTAGTTGCCACTGCAATTCTATATCTAAGAATATACTCCATATTAAGTTTTCCTGCATTTAGTTCTTGTGCTAAAAAATTGTATTGAGACAAATTAAATCTAAATATGTTCAATTTTCTTTGAGTATAAATCACCATATCCGAAATATAGTTTGTAAATAATATAAAGTGTTGCATGTATTGAAAAATGGGTGAAATATTTTGTTTTGTCGTAAGTCTTTTCACATAAGATTCTAAGCAAACCAGCGACAATCACTTTAATGTATACGTACTTGTGATTTGTGAAAGTATCAAAGTCTTGAATGAAATGGTCAAGAATTAAAGCCACTTGAAACGGACTTATAATATACTTAATGTAACAAAATTATTCCAAAGAGCTACATATACATACTCCCAAACTCACAGCATCTAAATGATGTGTTATATTCTTGCAAACGATATCTATCTTATATAATTGTATACTTGTTCATTTAATCTTCTTTGTGATGATGAAGCAAGATAGGGCTAAGGAAATTATTCTTGAAAACTTAGCTTATCATTACTCCGCCAAGAATTCTCACTTGACTAATGATTCAAAGCACACAATGTACGCTTTTCAAAATAGTATTCTCTTCACCCCCATATTATTGTGTCTATATTTCTTATTCTATATCGCATCTTCTAATATTTAATGTTTTTACAAATTTTTATATGTGACTAGTCACACCGTGTGGCTGAGGTTACTTATTAGGGTTATTTAGAAGTTATTTATTCAGGGGTTACATGATTGATCAGGGGTTACTCGGTCGGTTAGGGGTAATTCGATTAAGGGTTACTTGGTCAAGAATTACTCAATTGGTCAGGAGTTACCCGACACGTTAAGTATTTTGGAGTGTGTCAGTCCGCCACACAGTGTGGCAAGCAACACTGAAAATGCGATAACCAATCGAGTAACCCCAAAATAAGTAACCCATGACCGATTAAGTATTTCTCTGAATAAGTAATTCCGATCACATGGCTAACCACACAGAAAATGCACTATTAAATTTTACATAATTTTACCATGTTATAGCTACTTTATTTTTACCTTTTACATATAAGATACCCACCATGTAATAATTTACTTAATTTATAACTTTATGTATTGTCCTGTATAATATACCTCTATATCCAAATCCAAATTATAAAGATTAATGTCATCATACACCAATTTGAAAAAAAAAATACCTCTAAGTCTAAGACTATTACACACTCTTTCCACTATCCTTAATTCACATGAAAAATAAGCAACAAGCAGTATAATATCAGATAGAGAGAGATTATAATATGGTGCAGAGAGAGTAATAATGAATTACAATTTTGATTTTACCAAATTACATTTACTAAGATTGAGTAATAGAATACGAGAGACCAAGAGCAAAGACTTTTAGTAAAAAAAATTTATATCCTAATTCATGAAATTTGAATATCAAGCTTGCCCAAAGCTTTAGGGCACGATGTACATCGATCTTAAATTATTCTGAGTTACATATATTCTCGATCACATCTTACTCGATCTCGATTATACATGCATAAGCATGATTGTAAAGTTAAGCTGAGAGCACTGCATGATGCACATCTTACTCTCAAGTTTCAATTATCCGTCTTAATTTATATACCCAATACTATTATTCATTTTTGACACGATATACCCAATAAAATATCAACTATTTTCACTTCCCTCTAAAACTCTTCAATTATCACATAATATCACAAACTGTTACTTAACACAATTATTTCTTTTTTTTTTTTTTTTTTTAGGAAAACATAACACGGTTAGATCATATTTGTTATGCTTTCGAAAAGTCCCTCCTTTACATAAGAATTTTTTTTAACATTAATTAATTCAAGTTAATGCTCAAGTAGAAGATAGTACTAGGGAAACGATAAACTCAATCCAACAAACAAAAAAAGTTATAGCATCAATAATAGAGGCAAATAAACAATTTTATGTTGGATCTTCACTTAGGATGAACGTGTACGGACAAGATTAAATTGAGAAAAGTGTGAAGAATCTCTTACAAAATTTTGCGATTAAAAGGAATTGTTAAATAATTATGAACTAAGTACACACAATCACGTAATAATACGTATTAAATTATAAAAATATGGTTTGTGCTTGCTTATGCTATTATGATGATGTGAAATCTGTATAGCACCATATAAATAAAGTAACGTATTTCTAGATAGATTAGATGATATGATTTTGACTAACTACAATAAATTAGGGTATGCAATCAAGTTTTTAGGATATGATGCTTTAATTTTTGTTGTTTAATTAGGGTACGACATAGTTTTTTAGGGCTAAAAAAGGTATAATTAAGAAGAATTCTTTGTTTATTTTAGGGTGTGTCCTTTTATGAGGCATGTGATCCACGCACTAGACAAAAGGACAAAAGTGTATCCACTAATTTTGAGTTGTTAAGGTGTGAAATTGAAATTAATTTAATTTTTTTTCGTTTTGTTGGGTTGGATTAGATTTGGTTAAAGTTCTAGAGATTGAGTGTTTACATACAAGATTACTTGTTCGAATGAATTTATAAATTCTTTTGTTGTTCAATTAAAATTGTACCTTTATTTTTCGGACATTTTGAAACAGTATGTGAATCGTAGTGCTAGAATGAAAAGGTGGTTGATGAGTGTATGACTCATCATGAAAATAATTTTTTTTAATCATAGTTTAATATTGTAATTATGATAACTGTATGTTGTTATGAAGGAACATCATGTATTTTACATTACAAATTCGCAAGTTCAAAATATTTAAAATAGATACATAATACGATTAGAAATGTCAATTCGATTTTTCGGATCGGGTTCGATAAGGTCTGGTCGGGTCAATTTTTAAAGTTAAGTTATACTAAATTATTGTGTTCACGCAAATTGAAATCTAAATCGGATATTTTTTGAGTCGATTTCAAATCGGGTGTGATTTGTCACCTCTACACATGATACGTACCTCTTTCTAAAATTGGACATACTTAGAATAGGCTTATAAAATCAGTATATGATGAATTTCGAGTTACGATGATGATGAAACAAATCAAGTACATATTTGGCTAGTCCTAGCTATGAAAAAAAAGAGTAGTATAATGCTTATGGACAAATCAAAGCATAATTGCAATAAGCGATTTGAACTATTAACTATAAAGTCTATACTAAATAAAAACGACGCATATGTAAAGCAATTCACTTAAGCAATTCACCTTTTGGATTAATCCAGATTCGAGAATCAGTTTTGAGTGGTTAGGTTCCAATCCCCTCTCAATTATTGTTGCGGGAGATTGAACATGCGGTACTCTCTACCAAATGTAGCCCCAATCATCACTACACCAACAACCAATTGGTGTTGCTCATTTATAATAAATATACATTAAACAAGCTTAAGATTAGCAAATTAAAACTAACAAACTTAAGCAACATTTGGCGCCGCTAGTGAGGTACATGTTAGTTTCTTGCAAAGTCACTTACATGGCAAGAAACTTCACGTACCATTCTTTGACCTAGCTAGCTAATTAAACTATTATATTTAACATTTGATTTTTAACAATCCGCGAGGCTTGCTTTCCTCTAATGGCTAAATCTCAAATTAAACCACAATTATGATGCATGCAACAATGGACAAAAAAATAAAAATGCTTAAAGGTATATGAGTATTTTGGAAATTATTCATGGTAACTATGTGCTATTAGACGTTTTTTTGATATCACCCCGACTAATTTTCCCTTTTTTAAAATAACGTTGATGAACTCGAAAATTAAAATTTCATCAGCCTAAATTATGAAATATTTCACAAAATATAAAAATAGATAAATAAAATAGCAATTTTCGAGTTCATCAAGATTATTCTTTTTAAAGTTGTCAAATAATTAAGTCGAGGTTATTTTTGAAAACGGCGTATAATACATATTTACCATGATTAATTATCCCAAGTTTTAGATTAGTATATATATATATATATATATATATATATATATATATATATATATATAGAAGTGAAATTGTAGGTTGCTCAAAAAGAACCCCAATTATTCCCTTGGAAATCATCTATGTTCCACAAGGCAGCATCCCAGCAAAGAAGATCAACGTTAGAAGCTTCACAAGAAATATTATTATCACTGTAACAACCCCAATTATTCCCTTGTTCTTCAGTATATGTTGGACAAATGTTAGCACCCATCTCAGCTTGTCGAGCTTGCGGTACTAGACTAGTAGTCGTCGTTGTAGTGTTTGTTACCTTATTGCTATCGCTATCCTCGAGGAGGATAGACATGATCTTTTTCATGTCCATCGCCGTAAACTGTTGCTGTTGCTGCTCCTGCTGCCGCTGCTGCAGAAGCTGCTGTTGCTGAAACTGCTGTTTCCGTAACAAGCGAGTTTTCGATTTTTCGAGATTATTTGGTGAAGCCTTGTCCTTTTTCTTGAAATGTGTCCTCCAGTAGTTCTTGATCTCATTATCTGTTCTTCCAGGCAAGCTTCGCGCAATGGTGGACCACCTAGTACAAGTACGAGTACGTGCTATTAGTTGATTGGATGTTAATTCTATTATTAGTAGGTGTGATCGATTGTAAATCTTGTAATAATTAATGTTGTTAGTGGAAATAACGCAAAGAAAAATCTAGCTAAATTAAGGTTAAAAAATTACCTGTTGCCCCACCTAGCATGGAGCTCTAGGATGATGCTTTCTTCATGTGGAGTGATTTGCCCTCGTTTAAGGTCGGGTCTTAAGTAGTTAACCCACCTTAATCTACAGCTTTTACCATTCCTTCGCAATCCTATAATGAAAAAGAAAAAGAAAACGTTGTTAATTTAAGTACAAAACACGTCTCTTTTTCTTTGTAATGAATGAGCCACAAGAGCATTACAAATTACAGATGAGGGAAAGGAATGTGAACTATAAAGGTGTGATCTATTGTATACAGATCGACCATCGATGTTTGCCACTATGTTAGATCAAGATGTTATTGATAAATATAAAATTGGATTGGTATTAAGTGCAAGATTAATAATATAATCAAGAAATGTATCAATCACTAACTAATTATGATATGATAAACTTTGGATCATGAAGATAAAAAGTATGCATGCGTCATGCACATGTGTTGATGTAAAGAGTAATGCACGTATAATGTAAACAAAATGCGTTACATTCAATGGAAAGAACTATGCTTAGACAACATGATAGCTTTGGCCAATTGAGGTGGTCTCATGTGAATATTGTTGCATATGCATGACTTTGAGTTTAAATTGAACCATCTAAAATATGTCTTATTAGTTATGACATTGACCAAGTTAATAATTGATTAATAGGTCATTAATTGTATACACCTATAGATTTGAATGATACATGACAAGTCATTATACTCTACTTCCTATCTCTTAACACAAGGATATTAGATTAAAACTCCTAAAGATTCGAATTGAATGATATGCCGAGTCATTATATTCTCTCAACACAAGGATATATATTAGATCAGAACACTAAGGTTGCGTGCACAATTATTAAGGTGGTAATCTAGGAGCTAAGTCTTAAACCCGAGACTAAATGAACACGTACCACTCAAACTGGAGGAGTAGTGCCTCAATTAAGGGTATGGAGTGATCGAGTAAATTGAGGGAAACAAGAACATCAAACACATACAATTAGCTAGGACTATACCTAAAATATGAATGAATTGAAGCAAGTAGTACCTGCAAGTCTAGCAACAGAATTCCATCTTCCTTCACCATGGAGCTTAACATATTCAATGAGCAACCTATCTTCTTCGGCGGTCCATGGCCCTTTTCGCCACCCGCCGTCTCCCAACATTCCCCAGCTCATCCCCATATGTGCTCCCATCACTCCCCTACAAGACATCTTACAAAACTAACAAACAAAAATAAAAACCCCAACAAAAATATTTTGAGTACAAACAAAAAAATTTCTAGCTCTAGCTTGTTAATTGCTTACTTACGTAAGCTTTTGGCTCCTAAATTCTCTTGCACATTTAGGCTACTGCTTGTTGCATATTTATACCCCTTCAATAATATACCTCATTTTATTATGCCCTACCAAAAAAAAAAAAAAAAAAAAAAAACCCTTAATATTTGTCACTTTCATGTGTCTTTAAGAAAAATTAGATTTTTATCCCACTATATACTAACATCATGTCAAGTAAAATTACAAAAATGCCCATTACCTTTTAGCTTAATGGATGAGATCTTCTCTTCTTCTTTTAGACCCTTTTAAGCTAAGCTCTCTTTAATAATGAAAATAGTTTAATTAGTGCTAGAGCATAGATTATATTCACTATCATTTTCAATCTCAAAGTAATTAAATTAACCAATTACAATAACTATATATGTAAAAAAAAACTTTCTCTCACCTCTTCCTCTCTCTCTCTTTGAAAAAACCCTAAAATTTTTGGCAGCCGCAAGGGGCTACCATCATCATCTCTTTGATGATGGTAAGCCCCATTATTTTCTTTATTTTCTTTGTTTTTTGTTTTTTAGTCATTAATAATTCTCCTTGCTCTCTCTTTATGAGAGTTTTCTTCCCAATTTTTGGGTTTGTTCTCTCCTTTTGTGAGAGTTTGGCGTTTGTCTTTCTTCTCTTCCCTTATGGAAGATTGAAAATTATTTTTAAGGTTTTATCTGAAAGATTGGATTCATGGGTTGTTATTCGTACAATTTTGCAATTGGCGTTGGAATTGAGGATGCGATCGACATGGTCAAGTAATGAATTTTCTTCCCAAAACTATGTCAAGAAGATGGACTCCCTCACAGAAGGCTGCATAATCCAGCGAACAATCGGGGACTGTGCTTCATCGTCAGATCTAGTTTCTCATCATCATAGTTTTTTTAAAGAGGATTTTTACTTGATTAATTTAGATTGTATTTTACTTTTCTATAATTCCTATTGTAAATGCCATATGGCTTTCAATTAATGATATTTTATCCTTCCCTTCAAAAAAATATATATATATATAACCGTATTCTTTTACTAAAGTTTAATCTTTTGTCTAATATAAGCTTCATTATATTTTAAAATGTATAAAGGGTCGATTTTCACACTAATTTGTTATACTTTATTCTAAAAGATGTCTTTTAAATGTACAAACTATAAGATGGCGAATAAAAATCATTTTCTAAGTATTCTATATTCTATTAGTCCAAGAATTTAAGTCTTCAGGTCAAAATTCGAGCATATGATTGAGAAGAAAAACTATAATATATATACTTGTAGTTTGTACTTATATAGAATATTTTTCCAAGGTTGGTGCTAAGGTTCGAAAAATTGCGTTACTTTAAATTTTTTAAATATACGTTCTTAAATATTTTCTCAAATAGGTAATTTAACAAAACTTATCAAATTTAATAAGAGGATGTATGATTACAGTAGTAAACACAACATAATATTCCCTCTTATCTAAAATTAGTTTTTGCATTGTTGCATCCTAAATTCTATAGAATACTTTGACTCACTTGATTTTCGCATAATGGTTAGAGAATGATGGATAACTTAACTGGTTAAAGTTCTTTTTCCGAATCTAAGAGATCCTGGATCAATTTTCGTCATCTGTTTAGTGTTCAAGTTATAAATATTACACTTTCAATCTATATGCTGATTTATTTTAGTCCTTTGACTAAGTTTATCAAGTAAGTCAAGCTTTCAAAAAAATAAAATAAAAAAATGGAGGTATTATTATACTCTTCAAGCCCTTAACTTAAATCGGTCTAATATAAAGTGTTATCCTTTTTGTTCTTTTTATATTGCTTTTTTGTCTTATAGGAAAATAATTTAAATAAGAAGAACCAAAAGTATTGGAGTGAGTATCATTTTATAAATTGTCATAAGGTTTTCTGAAACACCTTTGAATAGTAATTTTTTTTTAATTGGTAGGTAGTATTAAATGTTGATAATAAGAGTATAGAATATGAATTGTAATCTTGAAAGAAAAGTGTCTTCTTAATGTCTATGTACTTCCTCCTTTTCTATTTAGTTGATGCATTTAATTTAGGCACACATATTAAGAAGAGGAGAGAGAATTAAAGAGAATGATAAAGCAAGTGAGGTACATAAAAAAAAAAGGTATAAATCTTACCCAAAAAGAAAACGTGGCAACTAAAAATAAACTTCCTAAAAGAAATACGTGTCAACTAAAAAAACGGTGGTAAGTATCTCCAAACTTGTTTTATAATTTTCATTTCGTTATCATTACTCAATATTAGTCCCTAAATGGTATGAATGAAAATGAAAACTTATGAAGAAAAAGAAATACTTTGATTTGAGTTAGCTTAGCATTACCATGTGGATGATATAAGATTTTCTTTATCCTCGTCAATAACTTTATGCCTTTTCAGTTTATCTAATTTTTGCTAAATTAAAAATTATTTTTACTAAACTAGGGAAACTTTTTTGCAAAACTTAAATTATATTTACTAAAAATGAAATTATTTTTACTGAACTGAAATTAATTATACATACTAAATACAAATTATTTAATTAATTTTTTTTTTTTTACGAAATAAAATTATTTTTTAAATATTATTTTTTAAAAGTAAAGTGTAACTGGCCTTAATTAACACTTACCAAACAAACTAATTATATAGATTTTTGACAGATGGAGTAAATAACGCTTACTTATCTTATGGAATTTTTCAATCAATTTAAATTGTCAAATTGACAAAACACATGAAGTACTTTACTTATCTACTTCGATTAAAAAAATAAAATTAAAATCGTGACAAAAAATTGGAATTGGAGGACAGCTTTTCAAAAAAACATAAGAGTTAAGGATCAATAAGAATATAAGGTTAAGAAGTAATTATGATGCTAAACAAGGTTAAGGAAAGGATAAACATATATAATTTGATGGTTAAAAAGCCACGTATAGCTCTAGATGTAGATGTAGGGTCTTATTATGCAAAACAATCCAGGTACAAAGAATTAATAGCTATAAAGCACTGCCTTAAAATAATTAATTAAAGAATTGCTAAGGAATATAATATTTTTGGGTGATATACCATTCTAAAGCTATGATAACTACTACATATCCAGTTAAAATTCACCATCTGTTGCTACTTTCTTCTTATATCAAACCACTACCATTTTAAGGTGATTTAGTCACGCTCAACTTATATATCAAGTCTTTACTTGAATTAATTAATGGATTTCATTTTTATTTATTTATGTTTAAGATTTTGGAGTCATTAACAAACGTGAATCGAACCATCATCATTAGCTGCTCGTATAAAATAAGAGATATATGGTGTGATATAAATGACATATAAGTGTTACTTAAATTGTGAGATAGATGATTCAGAATAATGCGTACTTTTTAGGGTGACAACCTATATTTAATTTATTTTTTATTAAATAGTAGTAAAATGGGTTTAACCTTATGGCTAGAAAGTTATGTGATCAAATTAAATTTCATTTTGAGGCTGTTTAAAGGTAGGAATTCCCTTATCTTTTTACTGTCATTCCACTCTTAACGAATCTGATGTGTAAAGCTGGATTGACTTATATTATGAGAAGTAGTGTAGGTTCAATTGGTCGTTCTTCAATTCTTACTTAAAAAATGAAACACTTTAGTACGTCATCATGATCAAATAGGTGGTTCGTGTATATGTTGAATTGTCCCTGAAAAAAGAACTTTCATCAGTGAAGGATGAGTAGTGGATGTTTCGTTCTACCAACTTTAAGGACTCAAATGTTTAGTTTTTAAAATATTTTTGATGACTCAAATTGCAACTTGCAAACAATTTAACAGGTGTCCAACAGTATTGCCAAAACTTCTAAGATATTTAAGTTTGTTAGAAGCTACGAAGCAGCCGATACATTATCTAGATGTCTCCAAAATGAGTTGAAGATTGCCGTGTCCTAAAAACAACACTATCTATGACAAGTTTGCTCTAACTTCTTGTTAATAGAGATATGTTGGAATTTATATACTACTTGGCGTTCCTTTTCCATTTTCTTCAAATACTATTTTCTAACATTTAAAATAGAATCTCAAGTATATATTTAATATGAATCAAAAGAATAGTTACACACACATTTGATGTGTAAACAAATTATATATATATATATATATATATATATATATATATATATATATATATATATATAGAGAGAGAGAGAGAGAGAGAGAGAGAGAGAGAGAGAGAGAGAGAGAGATTGGATCATGTGAAAACAAACCTAAAACTGAAAACTGAAAACAGATGATCTAGACCATTGAATTTTCATCTGACGGATTAGATTACATTCGCGTTATTTGTAATCTTGACCGTCCATTCTCTCTGCTCTATTTTTATCTTTCTTCAATCTCACGATATCACTGGTTCTCTATCCTTCTCCCAAAAAATCATCAAATTTCAGAGGAATTTGCTTCAATCTTCATCAATAATTTGCTTCAATCTTCATCAATTTCGTCTTTAGCTTCAAAATTAAACCTGAAAAGTGAGTTTTGCGTTTCAACAATCAATTATGTGAGTTAATCATTTTCGTCGCTGAATATTCATCCCATTGAAGCGAGTTTTGAGCTTTCTCGATCCTCCATTGAAGCGAGTTTGAGCTTTCTTCTCCATTGAAGCGGCTTCTCAGGTAGTATTTCTTAAATTATCGACTATCAATTTCACAATCTAGGGTTTATTTCTAGTTAATTGCTCGAATGTTTTTGTTATGAAATATAAATTGTTGTTTGGATTCGAAATTTGTTGAATAGCATGCGAATTTTGTCGATTCAAGCATTTAATTGTTTTTAGATTTTATGTGTCATGTATTGTGAGTTTGTGACCCTTGAATTTATGTAAAATTGGGGGATTAGAGCAATCTTGAGCTCTTCATTGTGCCTTTTGCTTGGTCGGTTTGTTGTCACGGATTCATGGGGAATTCGAGTAGTTTAGCATCTGTTTCTTGTGATTGTACTGCCTTGCATTTTGATGCAGAGTAAAGATGAGAAATAGGGTTACATTTTTGGGAACTAGCAAGCTGAACTTGGTGAAATTGTATAATTTCTTGGATTGTATTTTCTTTATGTTTAGTACTTTTAAGGCTTTATAAAGAGGCTTCCATTGCATATATTGAGGCTTCCATTGCAAATATTAAACAGATTTCTACATGTGAAGGAGACAGAAAATTGAAGTATGGCGATCATCATGGTTTTCTCGTAATTACACTTATTGACACGCCAAGAGCTTATGCTGATCTCAAATCTGAGGAACTTGGTCAGGTGAGTAGACAACTACTAGTTTATTTTAAGTTTATATTGACTAAACCTGTGGTAATGAGGATGAAATGATTTGTCTCTCTGAGCGCAGGGTGAAGCTATAGCTCAAAACATAAGGTCTATGTTTGGACTGAGAGTTCCTGTCATCTCAATAGTCACCGGTGAAGGTGGTTTTGGGGGAGCTCTGGCCATCTGTTGCTGCAATAAATTGTTTATGCTTGAGAATCCTGCTTTCTATGTTGCTAGGTTTTCTTCGCATCTATTGTCTATTTTTGGTTTCTTATTATTATTCAAATTCCTTCATCATTTTCCAATACATGCTTACCTTATTATTTCCCTTTTGACATTCCTGAAGCATCTATTGTATATGAATTTTTCTCTTGCTAGATAGTTAATAAGCTTTCATGGGATACAGCCTTATTAATTTCAGAAGAATCTATCTTTTTCATGAAAAGGCTGCTGAAAACATGAGGATAACAGCCCAAGAACACCTTCGGCTATAAATTGATGATGTTATCATTCCTGCAAGCTTTTCTAAATTCTCAAATTTCTGCGTGAAATCAACATGATTTGTTTGGACACTTTGAATGCGTTCATTTGGACTGCATGCTTATTCCACATAATTGGCAGGTGTGATACTTTTGTGTTCTTTGTGTGATATTCTTTCTGATTATTTGTCTCGAACACTCTTCTTTTTTCTTTTTGCTGTTATTCAGAAATGTTGATTTGAAGAAAATTTCTTGTAGAGACATACTTCGTATACCTTAAAAATATTTGGGTCTAAATTATGTGATTTTGCAGATTGGTGAGTGTGTTGCTAACTGGTGGAGGCCCAATTTTGAAACAGTGATGTATCCCTACTGCCCTCCTCACATCACAATGAGTTAATAGCTATGGAGTATATTGTTTTTGTGTGCCGGAAGCCTATTAGCTTAATTGGTCGAGCATTGTGCACTTGCATTGCACATGATGTGGGTTCGAATCCTACATAGGCTTACATGTAGTGATCTTTTTAAAATGTAGTAAAAATGAATATAATTAGCTTATTTTTATTTATAACGACTTTTATAATTACCTGAAGTTTATATATAGTTACCTTATTTTCGTATATAATGACCTTTTTGTAAATGTCATATAGTTACCTTATTTTTATATATAATGACCTCTGTGGAAGTGTCATCAAAATTGATATATATATATATATATATATATATATATTGACCTATGTGCAAGTGTTATCAAAATAGATATAGTTACCTTATTTCTATATATAGTGACCTTCGTTATTTTTATATATAGTGGCCTCTGTATAAATGTGGTCAAATAGATATAGTTACCTTATTTTTATATATAGTGACCTTCATTATTTTTATTTTTATTTTTATATATAGTGGCCTTTGTATAAATGTGGTCAAAATTGATATAGTTACCTTATTTTTGTATATAGTGACCTTTATGTAAATGTGGTCAAAATTGATATAATTATCCTATTTTTGTATGCAGTGACCTCTAAGGAAATATTTTAAAAATTGATATAGTTACCTTATTTCTATATATAGTGACCTCGATGTAAATGTCATCAATTTTTAATATAACTTGATATAATTACCTTATTTTTGTATATAGTGACCTTTGGGTTGTTTCACACCATCAGATTATCTAGTGAATATTCAATGGCTAAGATTGCTTGTTTTTAGTTTTCACCATAAGCACTGTTTTCAGCGGAACCTCCCCGTATATATATATATATATATATATATATATATATATATATATATATATATATATATATATATATATATATATATATATATATATATATATATATATATATATCCAAAACAAACAGGCCTATAACCAATTATTTTACTCATTGGCATCCTTTTTTGTTTTAAGTTTTTTGTTTTACTCAAAATAAAAAAACCAAAAATAGGAAACAACAAAAACGAGTTTTCACTTTTCTGTTGTCAGTTTTCAAAAATATCATGATTTTAATAAATTTGACTATTTTTTGATTCATTATATGACATGTATCATATGATTTAGAAAAACAAAAAACCACAACGATGTCAAACGAATCTTCATTACCTGAAAATAATTGAAAGAATTTGACAAGATCTAAACCAACCCTTTAATTTTTAAGGCTAGTATCTTTATATCAATCCTCACATGATTCAATTATACACCTTTTATTTCAATTTAATTGTAACGCTTTCTATTTATGCCAGTCTTAATTCAATTGTCACACTTCCAAATGATTCTGCTGCTATGACCCTTTCAACCTTTGCTTGGTGGAGTTATATATTTTCGATGTATAACATTTAGTTTCAATTTTTTTTTGGAAAAATTGGTATTATTAATCCTAGTTTTGGGCCAAAAACTTTAATTAATCCCAACTATCGATTATTCATGAATAATCCCAATTTTAGGGGACGTTTTCTTTTATCAGGTAAAATGACCAGTGACTTGTTTAAAAGGTAACTTTTATTTTTTTTTTCTTAAATGCCAAATGTCGCAATTTCTTTAGTCAAAAAAAAAAAACAAACAAACTCAGCCACCTCCGTCCCACCGCAGCCCCACCTCCCTCCCTCCCCACTGCCTACCAAAAACCACCATCTCCCTCCCCAACGACCCAACCCAACCGGAAACCACCAAGCAACAACCACAACCCCAACCCCTTCATTTGAAACCACCCAAAGCCCCACATCCTTCTTTTGAAACCAACCGTATCCCAACCCCCTTCCCTCAAATCCACCATTTTCAACCCTCTCTTTCCCCGAAATCACTACAACCTACCCCATTCCCCCTTCGCCGAAAACATCACAGGCCCGCAAAACAAATTGCAAATCCCAAAAACCAAACCTCCTCCCCTGCTTCTTCTTTTGTTCAGGCTTGGTTGCTTCAACGATCATCATCACCATCGTTATTCATCGTTAATCCATCATCACCATAAGATCGTGGCCGTTAGATTACGTGGGGCTGCCAATTCAAATTGGGCTGAATTCAATTTACGGCAATTTCATGAAATGCCACTAAGTACTTAAAAAATTCACCAAATGTCATCACGTTTTTCAAAATTCACCAAATGTCATTGAGGTTTAGTACAATATCACCATATGCAATTTCCGTTAGTTGACAGTCAGTGCCCGTTAGTTGACCCCACCACTTGCCACGTGTCACCTTCTTATTGGTCCGTTTTTAAAAATAAAAAAAATTAAACAAAAATAAAAAATAAAAAATTAAAAAATCAAACCACCAGCCCACAACCACCGACAGCACCTCCTCCCTGTACCCACCCCCAAAACCACCACTCTCCCTTGCTACACCGCCGGAATCATCCCCCCTCCCCAGCCCCATCGCCGAAACCGGCCTCCTCAGCTCCCTCCCCCCACCCCCGTAACAACCCCTAATCAAATCTCCGTCCCCGCAACCGCCACCCCCGTAACCACCAATCCACCATTATTAGAGTTAGATTGAATTTTAATTTCTTGCTCTTTGCTCCCTGGTAATCCTAACCTAATTAAGCTCAGTTGCTTCAAGTTGGAGGTCGTTTTCGTATGTCTAGGACCTTGCCATTATTTCTTGACCGATATGCTTAAAACTACAATCAAATCAATCCTTGTTAGGCAATTAGAGAAACGAAAGAGTTTGGAGTTTGGTTGAACTGCTTAATTGATCAATTTGAATAAGACAGCTTGTGGGGGGGAAGGGAGGGAGGTCATAATTCAAGGTAGATACACGCACTTGAGGCATAGAAGAACCTGCACCAAGTTTTCGAAAAGGGATGGGGAAAGGGGTTTTAATTGGGTAGGGTGGCCGGCATCGGAAACCGACGAGAAGGGGATGGGTTTTGGGTAGGGTAGCCAGAAATCGGAGAGGGAGAGGAAGGGGGGTGGGGTTTCAGGGTGGTGGAGGAAGGGGTGTGGGGTTTCGTGGGTTAGGGGGTCGCGACGGGATAGGGGAGGGGAAGGGGAGAGGTCGCCGGCGGCCGGCGCGCCTCCCGGTGCTAGCCCCAGCGGCAAGGGGTGGTGGTGGCTAGGGTTTTGGGGTGGGCAAGGGGCTCGACGGCAGGGAGGAGGTGGTGGCTGGCCACCTCTAAATTCCTTTTTTTTTTTTTAGTTTTTTTTTGTGTTTTTTTTTTATTATTTTTTAAATATATTTTCTGTTTTTTTAATTATTGTTTAATTATTTTTATTTTTAAAAACGGACCAATCAGAAGGTGACACGTGGCAAGTGGTGTGATCAACTAACGGGCACTGACGGTCAACTAACGGAAATGACATTTGGTGATATTGTATTAAACCTCAGTGGCATTTGGTGAATTTTGAAAAACGCGATGGCATTTGGTGAATTTTTTAAGTATTCAGTGACATTTCATGAAATTCCATTTAATTTATGCTTGATGCTGCGATTTGTGGGGCTGCCAATTCTGATTGGTGTTGTGAGCGGTTGTTGACGGTGAGGGGCTGGTAAGGGTTGTATCGGGGTGAGGGGTTAGGTTAGGGTGGCCGATGGCGTTGGCGTTGGCGGTGGGGCTGGGGTTGTTTAATTAAATTTTTTTTTCCATTTTTTGATTTTATTTTTTAAAACTTTGATTTTTTTTTCCGGACAAATCATGTGTTAACACGAATCCAATAACCTTGTATAATCGGTCGTTGACTTTTGTTGACCGGTTTGGGCCTAATTAAAAAAATGTCCCCCTCCCCCCCAAAGTTGGGATTATTCAGGAATAATCTATAGTTGAGATTAATTAAAGTAAATGATCCAAAGTAGGGATTAATAATACCAATATAATTTTTCCAAATTAAAGTTCTTCCTATGTTTCTTTTTATTAATTTACATTGATTGAAATCGATCTTAGCATTATTCATAAGATGAGATAATTCCTAAATTACTCAAAATGTATAAAAACAGAACGTAGTGATGTACTCTTGGGTCTTATTTGATTCATCTATATGAGTAATTTATTAGTATTCAACTATTAGATTTTTTTACAAGGCAAAAGCTAACGAACACCTGACGACATTGGATAAGATAACTAAAAGTAAAAATATTGAATTAAAATGCATATTAATTACAACGATCGACAACGTGTGATTTTGGCATGCATTCCAAAATTAATACCACTTTATGTAATATTTTAAATGTATATCTAATGCCCTAGGGGCGTTCGTTAGCAAGATTTTAGCTTTTTACAAATATGTAATTAAATATTAATGGTCAATGAAATGCATGCGATGGTTAACTTGCACATTCAAAATGGGGAAAACATTTAAAAGTGAAGGGAATATTTGATTTAAAAGTACAAGACATCGAAGATTCCTGTCATTTTTTTT